CATAATTTTATTTTTACAGTAAATACCTAAAAATGAGTCGGAAATTCAGTAAAACGGTCATAACTCTTGATAGAAACAGCAGGAACCCAAATCCTTTTAGGGTTTTTACTATCTCAATATGATCACTCAAATGAGATATAAATGAATCAAAACGGAAGGTTACACCCTGGGAGGTTCCCTCGTAAGTTGCCTTATATACGTGAGCATGCTTTTTAAAACTGGTATATAGTGTCGACCAAAAATTTTCTGAACATGAGATACTTTCATTATCATGAAAAGATAGCCCATGGCCGATAGTATTTATGGTGAAAGAATCACGGTGATAACTTCTGCTGTTCGTTCGAAAATAAAAATTTCCTGAAAACTATTGCACTACAAAAAATTCGAATTTTAGCTCGCTACCAACACTTTCAAGCTCTATATCTCCACAATGGTTGATCCTTTTCAGCTGAAATTTTCAGTTTCTTCTTAACTTAACAAGACCTATCTACTGTAAAAATATCAACCAAAACGGTGAGATTTATTGAGCAGGGCTCTGCTGAAAGCGGTCGTGGATTACGTGCAATGCCTCCTAGGCTCCACTACGAAATTCACCGGAGATCTAGAGGAATAAGTAGGATCCTACAGGAGCTGATATCGGAATTCAATCGCCGGAATTTCTAACGGTTCAGACAGATAAATATAATCGGATATTGATAGGAATCCGACAGTCGGATCCCTTACTGATTCGGTGATCCAGAATCCCATCGAATTGTGTCGAATGTTCGGATCCTATGATATCCAATCGGGTCCGATATCGGATTCATCGACCTTGGAAGAAGGTTATTAGATATATATATGCTTTCATTAAATGTGTGCGTCCTATACGAAATCATTTAAATACGATATTTATTTTTATATTTTTCTTGGCTACTGATTCGTCATTTCAGCAAGGATATTATAAACGATCTGAATAAAATAAATACAGACATTCTAAATTTTAGGCATTTGTTGAAACAAAGATAACATTCGCAAAATAAGTATAAAAGTTTATATACGCAAGAGAGTCATTTACATTATTCCAAGTCGTAAACTCATTTCAACTTACATAAATCATGTTAACTCACTATAACTCACCGTAACTCACCCTTACTCAGTTTAACTCAAATAAATCACCTTAACTCACCTTAACTCACAAAATCATAAACCACCTTTTTCCCTTTTGCCCAAATCCATTCACACCCACACCCTAAACTGTAGATCCTGTTATTCAGAAAACCATCACCGAAGATAATCGAATTGTGCAGCCATTGTATTGGCTTCTAGTTCTGGGACACATATGTATGTAGTCTAAATGTTGGTAGTTGATCTAGGTCAATTACTTGATTCCCTTGATACACTAATGGTGGGTCCATCCAGAATGATTGTAGTGTTGATGATAAAGAAAACAATATATTTTGCATGTGATCCGGTGGCAAAAAATCATTCTTTTGTGCTTGAATTTGATCAACGAGCGCTCTTGCTGAGCAAGACGTTAATAAATATGCATGAGTACATCGTGATGACTCGGATTTATGAGTTGACAAAAGTGGGGGAGCATTTGAGAAATGCTTTCGAAAATATTTCCCATGAAGGTTAAGACATGTTCCAATAACAATCATGGGATTTTGATTTACCCATTCATCATCTGATGCCCGATGTTGTTCTGGTTCAATGCAAGTTCCATCAATACGTAATGCTCCACTTTGAATAGCGGCATAAATCATTCGAGTGAATTTTTCTTTGAAAAATGGAACAAATATAGCATCATCTTCGAGAATTAAACCTAATTGAACTTTTCGTTCAGACATTTCATACCAAAGATCAACATGTTCCATTCCTATAGAGCATAGTCGTTGCTGTCGTTGCTCTAAAATATATAATTTAATGACAAATTATCAAATATAGTACGGAAAAATGAGTAGCAGCGGAAAACTAAAGTAAACATAATGAATAAACCAGATCTTCGAAAATTTCTGACAATGTTGATAACGAAGTTCTTCTTGCAAATATACTGATAACGAAATATCGTCGAGATTTAATAGAGATTCATAGGCTTTCTTTCAACTAGGAACTTATTGTAGTCTGCAAAAAACTATAGGAGTGTTCTTCTCCCAAACCAAAGGAACATTTCAGCTAGTAGAAAATGATTCAAAATGTTTTTGTGTCAGGATAACAAGGAAAAATATGTATCTGCATGATTATTAAATCCAATGTGTTCTAAGGAAATAAGGAGGATGTCACAGAAATTCTGAAACAGTTTTAAAACTTATCATCCTTGCATCCAACAAAAACAAACTGTTTGCAACCGTGGTAGGTTAGTGTACCTACTTAATACTGAATAATTACAAAGTTTTTGGCATATATCTTTTTCAATGGATGAAGAATTGGAGCAAAACTATCATGTGGTAGTTGTTTGATTTTAAATTCACCTAAATTGATAAAGGACGGGACTGTATAAGACCAGAAATCTGCCCATTCTTGAATTTTTTAAAATCATACAAAGTTCGATACAGAATTTTATGCTGAGTCGTGTGGTAGCAATTTCAAGCCGATTCGATAGTGTCTAGACTAACA